AATAAAAAGTAATCTATTGGAAAAAATGAATAAAATGGATAAGAAACGATAGATTTTATATATTTTCTCTCTTATACAAACATCACAGAGGAGCGCTTTACGTTATTCTACGAATGATCCGAATGATCCGAATGATTCGTTTGATCCGATTGATTCGTTCATAGTTTTGACGGCTTCCCTAACTTTCATTCGCGAAGTTGTTACAATACGAAATAAGTTTAGAGTGAACACTCTCTTCGTTGAATATATAGAAGATAAACATTTGATGAAAATATAAAATTAGTTGGTTTCAATCTCGTAAAATATATTACGGTGACGTAAAATAAAATACTGTACTATGGTAGCATGTTGAATACAAATAGAATTATTTGTTCTAAATATAGTTTTTCTGATTTAGCAAAGCGGGCAGACCATTGCATGTTAAGAACAGTCGAAAAGGGAAAGTTGACCATCACATAGAATTATTTGCATTGATGTGCACACATAATGATGTTTTGCAAAGATAGATAATTGTCAGTTTTATGAGTCAATTATTTTTTTCTAATTCTTTCTTATACGAATTACTCAATTGTCTACAATATATGCAAAGGAAAAATTCCTTTTAGAAACAGTATTATTCTATTATGGGTAGCAACAGTCAGCAAAAGGATGTTAATATTATTACAACTTCTTCTTTTACTTATTGGTATTTGCAATTTATCGCCTGCTTGCCCGCCGTGTGTTTCACCTTATTACTGTATTAAGTGTCCAACAGGATGTTCGCAAGTGGGTGGTTGCGCTCAATCGGAATGTGTGAATGAAAAATGTGTAACAATTACTCCTACTTGTTCAAATTGTCCAACTACAGCAACACTAAAATCAACAACAACTACTCCTCAAAAATTTGAACGAATTTCGTTCTTATTTCCAGTTACCATTCGAATCATTGGTCATTACCATTTTTCTTATTTTATAAATCATTATGTTTTTATTTCTGTATACTCTCATATGCCGCCTGATAGTTCGGCGGTGCTAAACTTCTTAGTTTGATCTGTCAGTTGATCAGTATTTTGCATGTATGTTCTTTTTAATAAAATCAAGAAATCATGCGACGAATTGACTCCAACGAATTGACCTACAATGAATTGACCGCGACGAATAGTTTGCAACGAATTGACTATGACGAGGTTTTGACTCAAATTATTTCATTCTCAAAGAAAACTGATATTAATGTTGATTCTACAGAGATGTATATATACGAAGAAATTCTGAAAACCATGCTTACTCATTCTTAAGATCACTACTCAAAGCACTTTTATGTTAAATTCGCTTTTCCAGCTCCTCCGGCAAGGAAATATAATGATAATAGAAATCAAGAATAAAATCACCTTTTTCATGTTGAAATAACTATTTCAAAATGAGACGTTTCATCTTTATTCTAAAGACATCATCAGTCAACTGATGTACAAAAACTAATTTCTAACATAGAAAAGACAATAAACATAGACAATAAAACACGTGTAGAACAGTACAATATTTTCCTTTTTCTCTCTCCTTCTAGATCATGAGTAGTCAAATGTACAAAACCAATATACAAAAACAACGAAGCGTCATATCAGAATCTCAGATTTCGTTCCAACCTTAGAGACTTCAGAAGCTCTCGATTGGTAAAAAAGAAACTTTTTCCTATGGATCTTGAGCGGGATAATTAAGAATTACCTTCTGAAATTAAAGAGTTTCAAATTTTTGAAAAGCTTTTTCCATAGCTTTAGCAATATAATAACGATCGAAAGGTCTGACAATGGCAGTATTGAAGTGGATACAGGAATGCTCTCTATTCCTTCTCATAGAAATAGAGACTATATTTTTATCTTTATGATAATTTAGGTGAAGATAATACGGAAGAAATTCTACAACCTTATATGAAGAATGATACTGTTACAATTGTTCGATAGCATTTTAAACCAGTTGATGGTGATCGCTGCAATACAATTCAAACAGCATCAATGAATTATGCATTTAAACACTTCGGTCCATTTAACTGATGAATGTGGTACTTTGATGCAGATGAATATTTTCAGTTGTATGATAATAATGCGATGGTGATAAAATATTAAATAACACTACAACCCTTGCTCAGTTACTCGATAACGCCGATAGTAAATAGCAGTTTTCCAGATAGGTATGCACCGGTTTCAGTTTTGAAGCCGAAAAACCGGTACGAAAATGCCGATTTTCGGTTTAAGCCGACACCGAAAAAATCGGCAACATTTTTGTTTAAGCTTATGATATTATGATATAATGAATTTGCACATAACATCTATCTACTATGTCAAAGAAACATCTAATTTTATCTGTACGGATTTCGGTGTACGGCCTAAACGCGTAGCTGTTACCCGCAGTTGCGGTTGGTTGATTGATATATTTTCTATCAAATCAGTCTTAAAAGCACATTACTAGACGCAGTTTTTTGCACTGATCACGAATATCAACTTTAAAATGAACGAAACTGAAATGTTTAACACGAAAATTCAAATTTAAAATTTAGAAGTTTTTATATTTAAATGTTGTGGCCTACTTAGCTTTTCAAAAAGTTTGAAAAAAGTATATCAGTGTACAGAAATATCTGAACACCTCCTGAAACAAATGATAGACAGCACAAATAAACTCTTGCGAGATTTATTGGGACAGAAACGTATACCAGCTAGTGTATTCGGAAAGTTGAAACCACCGCAAGACTGCGAGTTACCACGTCTTTACTATAATCCAAAGGATCACAAACCCGGTGTACCTTTGAGGCCGATAGTAGCGGGGATTAAGTCACCAATTACACGTATTTCAAAGTACTTGGACAAGACTTTACAACCTATATTTGAGAAATACACCCAACATTATACGCTACAAAATACATACGTATTTTTGAATCATCTGGATAGGCATCCTATGACCATGAAGACACCATTTTAG